CACGAAAAGCCTTCACATGTGCAGAGCCGTGAGACGAGGAGCTTGGTCACCGCTGCAGTTGAGAGCTCGCGCGCCGCGGCCATGCGTATCCTGGCACAAGGGAAGCTCAGTAAAAGCAAGCAGGCAAAGGCGGAGCCAAGGACAGTACGCAACATGGGTTATAGAGGGTAGATAGGGTTTATATAGGGTTGATATTTTTGTTTATTTAGGGATCTATTTGAGTCTCAAGTCCTGTTGATTGGGAGAAATGTCAGGGCCTTTGGAGCCGAGGTGGCTACTGTCTGCACCCCATGGCCATGATGGCAAGTTGCATAAGCACTCTCCACACTTCAAATTCTCCATACCAAATAGCCGCGCTGCGGGCAAAAATGTTTGCGGAAGAGTCTGTTGCTTGGCAACCGCGACCCAGACGAATTTGTTTTCTGATGGTTTCTGACATAAGAGGATGGTTTTTCACTGTCTGTTGACAGCTTTTTTCTGATGATGTGCATCCGCCGGAGAATCCACGAGTTTTTATTGTAGTTGATTTTAGGGACAGACGGGCAGAGTTATAAGCGGAAGAGAATTGTTGGCGAGCGGGACCCATGAGAACCATGGGTGATCCTCGACTCACACACTCTCCAAACCAAAGCATGAACCCTCCCACACGGCGCTGCCCGCTGTGCGATGTCGACTTTTGACAGGACCATTGCCGTGGTTCCCTTTGTTTCTGCTTCCGCTGTGCAGCGCTGCAAACCCTAAACTGAACTAACGTGTCCCTTTAAAAGTTTCTTACAACAATCCCTACGTAAGAGGGTGTGCCCTGGGGTCCTTACGCCCTTACTCGTCTGAGGCCAAGTACAGTGGTCCATGGATACCTCCAAGGCAATGGCTCAATCTGTGCCTGGACCAGATGGCATAACATAGCAGAGATATAGTCCCCCCTAAGTAGATAGAATATACGGTTTAGGATTTAGGGTTTAGGGGTGTTTAGGGTTTAGGGTTATAGTCCCCCTTAAGTAGATAGAATGTAGGGTTTAGGGTTTAGGACTTAGGGTTTAGGGTCTAGGATTAGAGTCCCCCTAAAGTATATAGAATATGGCTTTGGGTATATTATAATAAGATCCCCATATACCCCATAATCTATCTTGTCAAGAGGGACTGTATCCTCGAATACTCTTTCAAGGGTGAATTTGGGGATCTGTAGTGTTCAGGGTTTAGGGCTTGGAGTTCAGGGTTTAGGGTCTCTAGTGTGGTGATGTGGGGGGTTCCAAAAAGTGGGATAGCATGACATGGCCACCTTTACCTATTCGCATGAGCAAAGAATGGAAAAAAGATGGAAATCACGATTGGCCCCGGGGTACGGTCACGGCTGATTCGTAGAGAATGAAGAATGGAATTTATGAGCTATGGAAGGGGATTGATTATTTTGCTGGCATTCCTCCATTCCCCGTCACAAGTAATTTGACAGCTTCACCCTGTGCAGGCGTGGACCTAAGAAAAGACGACCTGTACTGGGTAGCTTGGTAAATTTCTTCAGCCTTTTCTGGTGGAGATGCAGAATTCTTTTGAGGCAGGTCTGACTGACTTCCGTATGCTGACTCTGAAGGATTAAAGATTTTCAAGGCACCCCACGATTCCGGGTGCGGCATGTAGATAGGGAGCATGTGGAGATTGTGCCTGTAGACATCCAGGTGAAGGCCGCGATTCAGACCCGCATTCTTGACACCCAGAAGGCTGTGATTGACACTTATGCCAGGGCCTTGCCAAAAGGGACCTCACAGGTGTCCAAGGGTTTTTCTTTCTGTGGAGCAGAGAGATTGGATTTCCCTTTTGGTGCGAATTCTTTATGCAAAAATTTACAGTTTTGTTTACTTTTGTTTGCCTCGACCACCCAAAAACGCCTGTCATGTGCACATGGAGAAATGCGCCCCAAGGAGAGAATCCAAGCTGCAAAGTACCAAATACCGTTGATGGAGCGTCACCTTGCCAAGGGCCGCTTTTCTTTTGTGGGTCAGGCTCGCGTTTCTCGCGTGCTGTTGGTTGAAGGAACCTCAAATGATCAACGTGTTTTCGGGCTAAAGTTTCAGGATTTGCTGCCAGTATCCACACGCTTCAACCAGATTTAAATCAAGGCCCAGGCATGTTATCTGAATTGAGCGTGAAGTTTGGCTTTTGAGGCTACAGTGGGATTCGGGGGATGAGGCCACACCCTCGTTTTGATTCTCTCGATGAATCGCGATTCACCGACGTGCGTGTATTTTGAATCCCGTCTAACCCCATATCACCCTATATGGCCCTATATAACCCTAGATTACTCTTATATTATGCCAATGTAACCCTATCTTACCCAATATAACCCGAATATTACCCTATATTATCAAAAGATTTTCATGTCCTAAGTCAAGGGTGTCCAGAGAGTAGCTGTATTGGGGTTTTTATTGGGGAAATGTTTGGGGTATATTGGGGTTATATGGGGGTAATGGAAAAGAAAATGGAAACTACTCACCCATTGCATGTAAGTATGAGAGGCGTATGCAGCAGGAGGACTTAATCCGGTACCTGGCAGAACCCATGTACGTTTTCTTCCATTTTGACTGACACCTGCAAAAAATCCTCCATGAGGCCAAGGGCAAGAGCCAAGCAGCAGCTTGCTGGCAAATCACGGTTGGGGTTATATTAGGGTTATTCTGGGGTTATATTCGGGTTATATTAGGTTACATTCGGTTATATTGGGTTATATTGGGTTATAATGTTGGGGGTACATGTTTACTGAATAAAAGGCTGGCCATCATCCTTTTCCAACAGGGTTTTGGCACAAGGCTTCATGGGGTCATGGGGTAAGCCTATCATCAGAAATCCTTGCCAGCTGTTGCAATGTGGTGAGACTTGCCTTGTTGGGAGCTAGTGATTGCGTATAAGATTCGGAAGGTAAGCATGGCAGGATGTAATTCTGACGTATGATATGTGTCCCACACATATGTCCGCGCTTGAATTTAGCGACCCTTGCCATGTGCGCAATGGACGCAGAACTGCGGGTTGCGTTTTCTAGCGCAGGCTGTACGTCCCTGGCGTGCAAGCGACAGCATCCTGAGGTGAAGGCCGTGGACACCGCCAAGGCCAAGGCGAACCAGGCCAAGGAAAAGGCAAAGGAGGCTCGACGCGGCGATCCCTAAGTTGAGGTTATATTAGGGTTATTCTGGGGTTATATTAGGGTTATATTGGGTTATATTGGGGTTATATTGGGTTATATTGGCTTATAATATATCCAGGGTTCTGAGGTGAACCAATGTTTTCGTATCAGCTTCAACTCAGCTCCTGCATAGGCTGTCTCATGATGCGTGGCTGGGCAGGTGGTTCACGACAAGCATGTGCAGGCCGGAGCGTGGTGGGGGTTCTCTTAGCAGCATCACCATTGACAGGTGTGACAGGATATTAAAATGGATCGACAGTGGTAAAGACAAGGTCTGGAGCTTAAAGTCGTAACGCCTACACCTTGCTGCAGCAGCAACCCTGGAGTCCTATACTCATGTTTATGACAGGCCACCCACATTGAAACACCCGAGCCCATGAGCATGTAAGCCCGAAAGCAACCCCCCGACTGGAGGCCACTGCGGCTGGGGTTGTCGGCGGTGCAACCACACTTGGGGTGCCTAGCTCATGATGGACGTGATTCTCGAGCAGCGTGTGTGTGCATTTGCCTTTGATTTGAAGACACCTCCCAATCCACAGTCTAACCTGTTCCGCTAAGACAGTGCATTGAGAATCCCAGTCGATTTGATTGTTCCAATTCTACAAGACCATCTCAAGGCATGGAGACGCTCTGCGGCAACGCAAAGGATCAACTGATGAGGGCATGTGCAATTCAAACACCGGGGTGAGGGTCCTTTATCGTACATAAGCTCTACATAAGCTCCCAGTGTTTCCATCAGCGCTGGGCTTGTTGAGTTGATCGCCAGAAGGGCAGGGGTTATGCAACATGTGCTAGCCATGTTCAGAATAACCGCCATAGCTTATAGCCTCCTGGCCTTGCAAATGTCCTCGCACGGGCATTTTTGCAGCTTGACAGTGATGACATTGTTAGCTACACAGAGTAATGTTGAAGCAGAAGTACAAGCAGCAATGGGAGTGCCGCGGAAGTAAAGGGAGCAAACGTAGCAGTCACAACGATGTAGCGGGATCAGATGGGAGGATGAATAATCAAGAAGGACAAGAGCAAGAAGAGTAGGAACAACGGGAGTCAGAGTCATCGTTTGCGTGGCTCAGGTGTCTGGAGGCGCGACTGGTCTCGCAGCGCCTTGGAACCCAAGGTTCCTTTATGATTATAGTGCCCATTAAGTAGATAGAATTAGTGGCAAATGGGTGTTTGCTACATTGGGGAATTCCATATTTCCTCTACCTCAGGGGGACCACATGCTTGGACAAGAAAACAACTTCATCATTCTCCCTGTTTAGTAGCAATAGCTACTATGGCCACTGCAATCAACATCACCAACAACGTCAACGCTGATATTGGTACTGTTTTATACTTGAGTTTGGGAAGGTTCGTTCCGCCTTTGTAGAAATATAGGCTTTGTTATCCGATTCACCTTGGCGGATCGGATGTGAGGCTCAAGTGAGTCTGTAGGAAGCATGATGCATGGGCGTTTCACGTCAATCATAGCTCAGGGCACCAGAGATGTGGTTATGCCTCATTACCAGGTGGGTTAAATCATCGACTTCGAATAGAGTAGGGGGTGCTGTCTCTGCAGCGTTCCACAACGGGCCCAATCTGGAGGGCTAAGACGGGCCAAGACAACGCTTGGAAGTTTGAAGGCCCTAGAAGTCCTAGCATCCGCGAAGAGCGTGTGTCTTTCTAGCAGGTGCAGAGTGCAGAGCACCATAGCAGTTTCCATTTTATTTTCCATGGTCCCTAAACCCTAAACCCTACATAACCCTCTTATAGTAGTTTACGTTTTATTTTCCACAAACCCTGTTATAGTAGTCTTCATTTTGTGTTGCATTATCCCTACTGAACTCAGGCCGGCTCCCTGGTGGGTGGCGCTATCGGCATCCTGCCAGCTCTGCCCCGCGATGCCCAATTCGATCGAGTTTGCATAGCCCTTGACTATAAATGGGGTTATATAGGGTGTGGGATTTAGGGATAATGGAAATGAAAATAGAAAGTACTACAATGGGGTTAGATACTTGCTAGTAATATGGGAGTTCATCGTGCGGGCTATCGGGGCTCCTCCATCTTCTTTGTTGATGTATCTCCGTAATCATAGGCTGAAGTTTGTCCCGCAAGTGGTTGAACAGGGGCAATGATGACAGCAATCTCTGTACTTGGATGAGATTACGCGTATCGCTTCTTGTAGTTGACTCGGCTAAAAACATTTCACCTCGTGTCTTGGCACTGCCTTGCAGGGGGCCTCAGCTCATGGGGCCCCTGCGATTCAATTCCTAATTCAACCCATGAATGACACACAACACCTAAACCTTGTGACCTTAGGAGTAGTCTCTTGAGCCTACTCCTAGGTTCACTTTCGGTCTCTCTATCCCCGTGGGGGCGGCCATTGGTGGCGGTGCAGGAGCCTTGCATCTTTACACTTGACGGTGCCCTGTGGCACTTGCCATGTCTTTATCATCCTCTTTCATCCCCCCTCTAGCTTGCATATTCCTGCAGTGATGGTAGTGGTGGTTCTCGTCAATGGGCGTCCTCCGTGCGTCTTCCTACTTCGGCCGAACTACATAGGAGCCTCTGCCCTGTAAAGGTTTTTTCAGATGTCAGAGAACATTCTTTTCATTACTGCCTGCATGCAAGCATGGTGAAGTGCCTGACACACCGGAGGAGCTGTAACCGAGCCCAAGACTTGTGGAACTACGGAATCATACCATATCATACCACATGATTTAGGCCCTGTAGGCCATATGGCAATGAATTCTATGCCCAACTGCTGGACCTCATTTTGATGCAGCCCGCACCCCAAACTTGCTCGAAGCCTCAAAGCCCAAAGCTTAGCTTGAGAAACTTCATCCCAAGACTGCAAGGGGATGCTCTTAACAATCCCCCTGTAATGGAGAACCACATGGACAAGAACATGGAGAACGAAATGGAAACTGGGGGTATATACGGATTTAAGGACCTTGTTGCAAGTACTAATATGTTTAGTTGGAGTCTCGCTTCGAAAAGCTCTGCTATTCAACCCCCATACTCCGTTTACGCTTCGATGCCAACTCCTCGCACATCTCTGTTCGAAACTGAGTTACAATCAGACCCTAAGAGACATCCTAAAGGTAAACGCCACTGTTGCGATTTTAGTAATGATATTCTCAACGTTCGAAATAAAAGTATTCGTAGTAGCAATAGTAGCAGTAGTTGTATCAATAGTGACCAGCATAGCGATAGTAATAATAGTACTGACAGTATCAGTTGTGCTAAAAGCAACCATAGTAACCATAGTAGTACAAGTCATAGTATCGTACTGGTAGTATTCCTAGTAGAGCACTAATCGCAACAGTGAGAGTAGAAGTAGTCGCTGTCGCTACCCTGCAAGGCCTTGCCGTCGGTGCGGCTGCCGGAGCCACCGCTGGTGCCGTGAGCGGTGGTGCAGCAGGCCGCTGGACTGACAATTGCTCAGGTACATTCCCAGGGCCCCTAGGGTTCAGGGCTTAGGTTTCCTAAGGGTTCTCGAGGAATCCAACCTAATTGCGCGGAAGCTGTAGCCACACATAAGTGTCAGTCGTGGAGCCTTCCGACTTTTTTCCCCGGCTTATCAGGGACAACCTTAAACTCCCAAGCTGTCAGGAAAGAGCCGTGAGCAACGGCAAGGAGTCACAACCACAGCCTCACAAAGAAGCAAGGTGTCACAAATTTTGTTTGAACACTTCAGTATTTGAATGCGTTTGCCTGAATTGTCTGTCTGAAGCGCATCAACTCTACAAAGTCTGGATCAGGTCGAGGGCTGGATAAGTGTTCGCAAACTCACAGAAGCGCTGAAGCATGACAACTCGCCACCTGTTCTGCGGAGCGTCAGGCTATGGAGCCTATGCCAAGCGTGGGCAGATCCTTGGCCAACATGAGAGGTTGACGGAGTTCAGCTTGCTTCTGTCTTTGCTGCTGCTGGGGGCCGACACAAGCACAGGGGAGATTATGGGGCCACTTCTTGGTGTCATCAAGTGAGAAGCCAGATGTTTGGGGCCATGAGGTAAGGGTTACGCATTAGACAGGTCGGTGCTGGAAGCTTGCAAGCCAAAATCTTCCGCACTCTCGGACGCTCTCACAGGGGTCAGGCCAATGATCACAAGTGAGCATTGTTCAGACACTGAAGTTTGCTGCCATTGCTGCGTTATCTTACGGAGGCCAAGCATGACAAGCACGATCAACAAGCTTATAACTTCAACTTCTTAGGTACTGACCCTGGTCATAGAGTCCTAATGTACCAGCGCATTTTTGTACATTCGAGTGAGCAAGTAGTATAGTCTCGTGTTGAGGATCAGCGAGTTCAAGCAGAACACCGTGAACAAGGACGATATTCTTGAGCGTTTGTCGCTGCTTCTAGATGCTTCCGTACGATACGGGGATTCTACGACGCACTTGAAAAGCGACGTGGCATTCTGCAAGAACACCCCGTCTTGTGAAAGACTTGCGATTCTGCGCAAGACCTACCTCCTAGACGTTTGAGAATATTTGCGGCTGTTTGCGAATGTAAGGCTGGCTGCAAACATCAAGTAACATCATGCCAAGCCATCCGCCACGGTTGCGCAGCGGCTGCAGATCCTACTGGCAAGGAAAATTGATGCACCATCTTGCATCTCAGATATCTAAAACGAGAACACCAGAAGCGCAGCTCACTAGGTAGGAACTCCCAAGCCCAGTTCCCATTTCACTCTAATTGCTGTCTCCATTTGATTCTCCTTTCTTCTAATTGGATATGAAAGCCTTTCTTTGGCAGCGGCCTCGCTGAAAAACACCGTGGAAATTCAGCACCAAACTTGTAAAAAACAACTATTCTTGGGGTTCCGTTTCTAGGGATAATCCCTATAAAGCCTTCTATAACCCTGGAAGCAGGTCTCTAGCGGCGTGGATCTGGTCAAGGGCAAGGCTGTGGCGTCGGCGTCGCCTGGCAAAGTTCTGGGATCTAAAGAAAAATATTTCACCAATCATAGAATCACAATTTGGTTTAGGGTTTGGGGTTCTGCGCTTGGGGTTTAGGGTTCAGGTTTAATACCAATACTAGTAAAAAAATATGGTAACAAAGAATACTACTCACAATGTAACAATATAATAGAATAGCAACAACAATATAGGTTGAGGCAGCAGTGGGGTCTGAAGGTTCCAGGCCTCCGCGGACATGAGCTAGAGTCTAAACTCAAAGGGGGGTTTTATACGGGATTATATAGGGGACTATAAGCTATATAGTAGCCCTCATTGTCCCCATTATTAAGCTTCTTACTAAGTCCCCATGACTCTCCAAGCAGGCAGTACCTGAAGGACAAGACTGCCGAGGCTGCCTGCAAACATGGGTGTTCTTGCCTAATAAAATGTCAGGGCTATATTGGGTTTGCATTGGGAGTGGAAAATAAAATGGACACTGCTATTTAGGGTTTAGGGTTTCAGGGTTTAGGGTCCCCCCTTTCAAGGGCCTAAATGTTAGGATCCCTATTATTGTCCTTATTAAGGGGATGGGTTCGTTAATCAGGGGTCTGGGTTACTTTATCTGCGCTGTGGCGAAGTAACTAGCAGCTCGGCCGAGTTTTGGACTCCTGCCTGAGCATTTGCAATGAATCTGTCTAGCTTTGATGGAATTTGATAGCCTTTGTCTTGATGCCCAGTGAGCTCTTCAATAAGCTGTACATGAGCCATAGTCTAAACTCCTAGTATCCGCCTTAATACCCCCTATAGTAGTCCCCCTATATAATCCCCTTTAAAGAGTTTAGACTAGAGCTCACATATCCCTGCCAGGCCCGCATGCGCCTGTCGGGCAACACAGCCAAGGCTGCCTGAAGTCATAGCCCCTCGTCGGAGCCAAGGGCTCAGATGCCATTGTTATGGTTGTGAAGAGATCGCTTAGTTTGCATGATCAGGGTTTGCTTGAGGACAGTCTCCACCCAAGGATGGTGTTTACATTTCGGTCTGGAAGATACAACATCAACTTGAAGAAACAGGATCAAACTCTTGTAGCAGAATTCGTACAAGCCAGTTCCAAGCTCAAAGTCCCCAATGCTTTCTGGATCTTACTGCTTCTCCATGTTTGAATCTTCGTAAGTCAAAGCTTACCGCATGTTGGACACAATGCTACATGCTACCTACGCATAGGGTTCATAGGCCCCAATGGGCCCTTAGTAGTCTTTTACATGGCGCTCAATGGTCCCAATAGGGGTTTGGGTCTGGGGGGGTTCCTGATGGGGGCCCCCTGTCAGTCCTGTGATCAAAAGGTTCTAGAAACTGAGAGGCAAGCTCCCAAACGATTTCCGATTCTGCAGCATTTCCGAAAGGGTCAGCCTCTGGAGAGAGAGGGCGGGGGTTTCCAAAATTAGGGGTACTATGAGGTACTTCATTTTTTTTGGGCGGGGTCCCGGCTAGATTTCGGGATTCTTTTTTGGAGCTCCTCCGCATAAATAGGTGTGTAACTAGGTGCATAGACACACCCCGCCGAGGCCATCCCAAATTGCCCCTGAGGCAACCTGCTTGAAGTCCGTGGACGATCAAAGAGCTTAGAGGCTGGACCAGCAGCTTCCCTTTCTTGTTTTCGCATAGCACGTTGGTTCCATATACGCACTGCAGGAGGTCGGTGCTGACTCATGCTGGTTTCTACTATGGTTGATGCTGGTAGTTGATTTAAAACTTGAACTTCATAGCCGGTTCCCAGACATGCACACGCGGTATGGGTTTAGCAACGTACGCTGTTGTCTAGGCTTCCTTGCTGATAAGAAGTTTGGCTCTCACTGCCTTTGCATCGCTCCTAACCTGTCCCCGAACCGGTGTTATGATCCATGTGAAAATCCCGTGCTGATGCCATCAGAGGCTCTTTGCGCAAGATGTGTTCCTGTACCATTGCAAGAAATGTCTATGCCCGCTTCAGGCTGCCTAGCACGTCCTACAGCATGGAACAGCTGAGCAACGTTTCATCCCAACCTGTCCCCCAAAGTCCGATGATGAACTTCAATTAGATTCAACTAGCTGGAGTGACGGCTTCCAGCTTCAAGAACCTGTAAAACCATCGTGTTGTTACAAAATTCGTTGCAAGCAATACAGTTACAAGTAGGGAAGGCAGAGAGGCACGCCTCAGCGAGAAACACCATGCTTCCATGTTGTCAAGTACCTGACGTGAGAGACCCTTGGTTAAGGACCCACAGTTCTCCAAATCCTCGTTTAGACTTGCCTTTGGTTAGCTGGGAATGAAGGAATGGATCCTTATAGTGGTCCCTAGATAACCAATTATAGTAGTTTCCATTTTCTCTTCCATTCCTTCATTCCCAGCTAACCAAAGGCCAGTACAGAGCCACAGCGCGAAGGCATGAGGTCTTCATGCTCTTCTGAGAGCTCTGCGCGCCTCAGTTCTGGTGGCTGGGCTTGGCAGGGGGTTCTGCTGTGGCGGTGGGTCCAGCAGGCCCCTAAATTCAGGGAGAGCCAGGAACGTATGGATCTATGGGAATTGAGGTCTGTGTGGGCAGACAGCCCTGTCCTGCAGTCTGAGGTGTGCTTCTGGTAGCTCACTTTCTTACCTGTGGTTGGCTGGGAATGAAGGAATGGAAAAGTGAACGGAAACTAGTAGGGGGTTTAGGGTTTGGGGTTGGAAGGGACAAAAATGGAGGGATTACTGTAAGGATCCATGCCCTCATTCCTAGCTAGCCAAAGGTAAGTCACTTTGTTTTCCATTTTGCATCCCCTCCATCAGCCGGTCCGGGAGGCAGGTTAGGGCCGCCTCTTGCAGACTGAGCCTCGATTGGTTGGGTAATTGACCATTAGTTCTGCGCACGCGCGCTTACAGAGCACCTGTACATTTTCTGGGCGCAAAGAGGGGAGCACCCCCTTGTCCAAGAGTTCGGCCCCTGCAGGTTTCCAGTGATTCAGCTCACAAATTCGAGTGATCGCTGCACTTGGCTACACGTAGGTGAAAGCTAGTTCGCACGTCTTTGCTGCATCCCTTGCGGCTCCAAGAGGTCCAAGATGGTTCCAGGCTTTCTTATTATTGCCAGGGCAGAGAGGCACAGATGGGGCTCGTTTTGCACATGTACAGCGTTTGGATGGACAAGGGGCGTGTGGCACTCCTCAGTACGGATCGCTTTGCTACACAGAGACGAAGCGCGAGAAAAACTTTTGACCGTCTCCCATATCGGTGCTTGAGAGTTGGCCAAACCTGGACCCCGTCCGTCAGCCAATTCTGAACTAGCTAAATTCCAGCGCTCCAAGGTTCACACGCCTGGTCTCGCGGTCTGGTGAATGACCTTAGAGGATGCCACATCCGGCTTCAAGTGCATGTTTATCTTCTTCGCAAGGCTCCAAACATCCCGGGGTGGGCATGTTACCACATTTGACAGCGTTTAAGGTTAGCCTCCAGATGCACCTAGAGTTTGCAACGCTCATGCATCTGCCTAAGCCTTAAACCCGATGTCGCATGGCACGACTAAAAAGCAGGCTGAGATTCAAGAGGAACCTTTTGCGCTTAGACACTTGTCCGCTGAAGCCCGCCTGTTTGAGTTGCGGGTTTTGTGTTCGGTGAAACGCCACTTAGAGATTCTGGCTGGAGTAAGGGAGCATACTACGCAGCCGCAGCTCAGGATAATCCTATTCAACCCTTTCTAAGCAGGCTGCCTAACCCGTTAAGTAACCCAAGGGTCCACAAAGCATTCCTTCACCCCACGCCTCGGAACATCTTCAGATCTCTAGCTGTTTGTTGATTCACTTGATCTTGGTTCTATTTTGTGAACCTTCTTGCAATGGTTCGCGATGGACTGTTTTTTTAGGAGAAGAACCACTAACTTGTCGTCAATTGGACTCTTCATGACGACGACGCATTTATCTTGACAAATTTTCTTCCTGCTTATGACGCCTTTCACTCACAGCGTTATCAGTACCTTCCTTCATGAACTGCACGATCCTTACTACATTTTAAGACTTGTCCCAGGAGCTCGCGCATTTCCTGGAAGCCTGGACAGCACGGTGGGTGGCATTCTCAAGGCATGGTGCTGGGTCCTGATATTCACATTAATATTAGTTCTTCATATATACATCACTCCCCCTTTAGAAAAAAAGCTTCATTTCTTTCCGATAATTGTGTTTAGCTTGATAACCGGGCGACGCTGAACCCTGCATTCCGGTAATCTCTGACCTTCTCCCTGGGAAGTGCTTTTTACCACCCCCCCGCCCCACCGCCACCCCCCACCCCGCCACCCCCGCCCACCACCCCTCTAATATTAAATATTCCCATTA